ATGGTAGCAACTTATATTTATTTAATACATACGTCATTTCTTCAACTTCTGTATGCCACTCCATTATACCTATTCCTGGCTTGTAAAAATTAAGAAATTACCAGTCTGAATGGCAGAATTAGACAAGTATGTACAAATAATTATCTCATTCTTAAACTCAGGGTTTCTTGGGAGGAGGGGTAGAAATGCACTGAGCACTAACAGACAATACAAAATATGAGGATTATTCCATGATAAAGATGAATCAGCAGAATCAGGTCAGGGCAAAAAAAAAGTAACAAAAAAAAGAGAAGAATGAGTCAATAAATTAAAAACAACAGGAACTATTCAGAACAAAAGAAGGAAAACTCGATAGATGTGTCAAAGAGAATACAGCTATGACATTAACAATAAAATGAAAAGATACATAGGGAAAGAATTCTTAATTTCTGCCAAAAAGAACTGATTAATTTTGTAGACTGGATTTTTAAACATACATTTCCATTTTACTAACAGGCTTGCATGATACTTGTAAAAGAATTAAGAAACAGTAAACTATAATGCTGAGAACTACAGAACAATATTCAGTAAATAAGACATTGTTGCATACAATGCCAGATGACCAAATAGCGTTGACTTCCAGTTGAAGAAAAACTATAAATTGTTGACACTATAAAGATCTTTAAGAGGAACACGAGGTCCCCACAGATTGTGCTTCCGTGCCTATGGACACACTCAAAATGGTGGCCGCATCTAAAGTCACACTCAAAATGGCGGCCGCCCACGATAACCCTCTCAAAATGGCGACCGTGTCCTCTGCACGCAGTCAAAATGGCAGCCGCGCCTGTTCCGAGCCTCCGAGAAGGCTAAAAACCGCCAAAAGGAGGGAATGGAGGGAATCAACCTCCCTGTTAGGGCAATAACCTCAAGGAACAGCAATTTAAATAAGCACTCTCCCCCAGTCACGGAAGGAACTTGCTATTAGTTTTGCAGCCTCCGCTGCGATCCAAGTCCTGTGGTCAAGAGGAGCCTCGTTGCGACGAAGCCAGAAAGGGAAGCCTCCGAACAGCCTGAGTCCCGAACGACTCCGATCTCCAAGGACGAGCTGGTAGGCTGGTACGCGCTCTGCTGTGCCGTCTGACTGGCGGTGGAAAAACCCCCGCTCGAAGAAAAGAGGCCTGCAGCCTTCTTCACAGGAGCCTGGAAGGCTCTAAGTCAGAAGGCCCGTTTTAAATTTAGAATTTAAATCTCTGCCAATTCGTCCCATTTGCAGCAGAAACCAAAGGAAAACTACACTTTAAATAATTAAAAGAAGGATTAACCGAATTAGAATTAAATAATTTGAAATAAAAGCAATTAACATAGCCTAGTTACGGAGCCAAAATTTCTGCGCCTTGCTGAGCACGAGATTAAGTCAAAACTGGGAAGACACACCCTGAGGGAGGCGTGGCCAAAGTTCTGACCTAGTCTATCTGAGCAGGAAGGCTGAAATACCCCATCCAGTGGACCCTACACTCACCATGCTGAAGAATAACTCTTACTCCCTTCTATTTGCTAAATCATTAATAAGGAGATGCTGAGAACTTGTCTATCATGTGGGTCATCTATTTTCTTTATCCTTACTATAGTGCTATTAAATGCAGCGACAGCACTGGAGGAGGAGTCAACTGAGCACCAGCATTTACCTGATCATACTATAAACTGGCACCAAACCTGACTGAACTGGAACATCTAAATAATTATTCTACCTAGAAATATACACAGATAAGGCATTCTATTGTGATATGATGCACTATAAGAAAAAAATGAGACAAGTTGATTTGCTACTTAATCCTCGACTGATCACATGACCTGGGGGCAGTGCAATGTCATAAATATGAGGCAGTTGCCAAGTGTCTGAATTCTGATCATGTGGCCATGGTGAGACTACAAGTGTTGTGTGAAAAACTGTCATGTCACTTTTTGCAGCACTGTTGTAACGTTGTATTAACTTTACTGCTAAAGTATTTGCAGATATGAACAAATAAACACAAGAATCCTGATTTACTGTATATTATGCAACTTTTACACTAAACCTTTAATAATCCAGCCCTCAAGAAGTTAAAGAAAATATTTCCAAAGCATTGTATTTGAGACCAGATGAATATATTACCATATTTTCCGGCGTATAAGACGACTCGGCGTATAAGATGACCCCCGACTTCGGAGAAGATTTGCATGGTTAGAAAGTCGTCTTATACACTGGAAAATACAGTATTTTCCGGTGTATAAGACGACCGCCGACTTCAGAGAAGATTTGCATGGTTTAGAAAGTCATCTTATATGCCGGAAAATATAGTAGGTTTTTGACCAGTTAAGCATTAGCAACTAAGAATGCGATCAAGCAAATAAGAGTACAAATTTATTCTCATTAGCTATTTTAATTAAACTTTGTCAAAGTCAAGTCCCTAGTTCAGGATGCTAAAAAAGAATTTTGGGATAAATTAAGAAAGCGATAACTATATATACTATGTGCCTTGGCACTTGGCAGGCTCCACGAATGCATGATTAAATTAAGATTTGGTAAAAATAAAATTAAAATTGGATGCTAGCATAATGCAAAGCAAAATACTAGCGTAAACATCTTTTTTTCAAAGTAATATCTTTCAGCCCTGCATATACAAAAAACACAATACAAAAATAAAAATGCTAGGGGAAATAGTCAATATACCTATTCTTCAGTTAGTGACTGAGTTCCATTGCAACAACTAGATCATTAAGAAAAATGGTTGCTAAATAAACATGTGACTGAGGGAGATGCTGCAAAAATTACTAGTTGCTGCCATCTCATTCAGATAAAGGTTGTCTTGTATAACTATGCCAGTATTACTTTGGTGTGCATTGTTGTCACATGCATGTTATAAATGCATGCGTTGGTTGCAAAATTAATATTTTATTGCCATATTTGCAAATAATTGCTAAAGGAGGTACTGTAGTTGCTAAACAAGAGTGGATGTACTTTATTTAAAAGTGTATCCACTGCATAGGATAAATAAAGCAGAAGAAAGCTGATATGGTAATAAGCATTCTAGATTTCTAAACATAGTGGTAGCAAGTAACTGCACTATTGTAGTCTGACCACTATGGCAGTCATTTAGTGAATATGCCCTTAATATGCTCCCCAAATCTCAAATGTGCCTATTGGTTAATTCACGCTATTTATTTATACTATGGGTATCCAACTCTAGGCCACATTGATTGGAGAGGAATTGTGTTGGGCTACATATAAATATATATAATATGATGTATATAAATAACTTCCTTTACTTTTAAATATTTTTTATGATCTTGTGGAGCCTGATTACTAGCTTTCCAGGGCTGCATGCCACCCACTGGCCATGTGTTGGACCTGCCTGATTTAAACATTACAAGCAGTCAATGTAGAGCATGGGTGTCAAACTCATGATGTCACGTGACGTGTCACGACGTATCGTGACATTTTTCCCATTGCTGGCAATAGGGTGGATGCGGTTTTGGCATGACGCATCCGGCCCGTGGGCCGGCAGCTTGACACCCCTGATGTAGAGAGTCTAGAAGATGACTTGGATGGAGATATAAGTAGTCCTCGCTTAAATCATTCAGCAACCATTCAAATTTATGATGGTGCTGAATGAATGGTAGAATGACCAGTCCTTGAAGTTATGACTATTGCAGTGACCCCACGATGACATGATCAAAATTGACAAACAGCTCGTATTTATGACTACAGTGTGCACTTCATCTGCCCCCCACCCACCTCCCTTTCTCATCTCAGTCCCTGTGGCTACCCTGCCTATTGGGCCAACAATCCCCTGAGTCATGCAATAGTTTTGCTTCAGAAACTATATCATATCACATGTGCAAAAAGCCATTTCTCTAAAGTCTAATTTATATAAGTTGGAACCTGAATTTAATTGTTTTAACCATCTAAAACAGGGATAGATAGGCCACCAACTATCTCTCTTTGTGCCTAACAAGTAGCCTAACATGATTTTTTTTTTTTTTAAAAAAAAAATAGATTTGCCACAAACTTGAGCACCATTTAGTTATAAAGAGGATGAGTAGTATGTAGTTTCAAACCACTCTTAAGTTATAACTTCATTCTTCATCACTGGCCATAGTCATTGAGCCTATAAAGCTCAACTACATCAATATCTTATATATCTTTTTGTATTTTTTGTTGTTGTTGTTTTCTGAAGGGATTCCCTAAAATTACTTCAAGGGCTCTCCAGGGTTAAATGTTAAATGTTGAGAAAGGCTACACCAGAAGTTCACTTATCCTTCAGCATCTTTCACAATACCAAACTGTTATTTGGTAAATAGTTCCTTTTTGATTAACCCTAACCATCACATTATTTATCAAATTTTTGTACCACTCTTCACATTACCTAGGTCAGTGGTGGCGAACCTATGGCACGGGTGCCAGAGGCGGCACTCGGAGCCCTCTCTGTGGGCACATGTGAGGTTGTCCCAGCCTTGCCTCCCCTCGCAACCCCCTCCTCTCCAGCAGCCCCCCTGAAGGAGAGTCGCCCTCGAGCATGGCCCACACGGAGCAGCGCAGCCAAGGACATGGCAGCCAGGCAGCGTAGACAAGACTCTGCCCTCACACCCCATCATGCAGTTGATGCTGCAGGGTGCGGACAGAGGATGTGGCTGCCATAGCGCTGCTGGGCTGTCTGGGTGATCTGCGGCAGGCCCTGGAGGAGGTGAGTGGTCCTGTGGGCAGGCGGAACAGGGGATGGGGGGGGGCAGAGCGGGGGCAGGGCCAGTTTTTGGGCACTCAGTCTCGAAAAGGTTTGCCATCACTGACCTAGGTGACTCTGAACAGTTAATAGATTAGAACCATAAAACTTTATAAAAATGACATAGCAAACTAAAGCTTATTTTCAAATGTACTTTTTCTGATAAAAGATTGAATATATTCAATCAACACAAAAAAGCCCAAGATGCCCACAATTAGCAAGCCAAACCTTCCAATGCAAAAAGAAAGACAGAAATATTACCTCGAAGCAGAGCTTATCGCTGATTACTTCCCTCTAGTAATTACGCTCTAATATCCATTTCTGGTATAGATCAATGAAGTACAACTCTGTAAGAACAATGAATTAGATCAGTATCAAAATAAAGATGTAAAGAAGAAAAATATTCTATTCCTAACATTTAAATTTTGGATAATGAAACTAAACTTGATTTTTCTGCCTTAATACCAGCTTTGCGAAATACATGCATTAAAAAATCCTGATTTTTTTTAAAATGAAGGTTTGTATATGATAAACACCTAATTTATTTAGGCTAAAGAATTATCCATTCTCAACAAACACTTCTTAAACCTTACAAGCAGTATTAACAAGTTGTTAAAATCTTGAACTTTATCCCAAGCATTGAAATACAACCTTAGCAGTTAATTCAACTAATCTGACTATAGCTATGGATAGACATAACATCAATCCATTGCTGTGGACAGATGACTCTCTTTTGATTCACTGGTGTCATCCCTTCCATACAGGAAACAGGGCCCATTCAATTGGCAAGTCCCAGGCTACTGATGGACTTAATGGGATCTCAAGGAGACCTTAGGCCAGTGTTTCTCAACCTCGACAATTTTAAGGCATGTGGACTTCAACTCCCAGAATTCCACAGCCAGCAATGCTGGCTGTGGAATTCTGGGAGTTGAAGTCCACATGCCTTAAAATTGTCAAGGCTGAGAAACACTGCCTTAGGCAGTTCAGTTCAGGCCTAGTAGCTACTTGTAATGGCAGGTACCTGGGGCCTTGGATCATATTGCTCCTAGAGAGCCTCTCCTTGTCTGCTGATCCTAGGGTGCCCCCTTGGTTTACCAAGCAGCTCCAGGATATGAAAAACTAGAAAAACCACAGTATTCCTTTGAAGAAAAACTTGAAGTTGAGTGTCTGATCAGACACAGCTAAAAGTAGGTATCAGGAATTATTTCATGGTGAAAAGGTTAGCAAAATATCAATTATTTTTCTGCCTTTATTCCATCTTCTGATAGTCATTCAGCAGTTCTGTTTAGAGTATCCTTATTGAATAGGTCCCCTCTCAGAACATCCAATGATCCACTATAAGGATTATCTGATAAATAAAATCACTCAAATTGATTTCAACTTAGACCATAAATGGGTAGAGAAGGCTGAGTGACTCCAGAGGAAGCGGACAAGATTCTCTGTGCTATCAGCTTGGCCACCTCTTTACCAGATCGGGATCCCTCTTAGATCCTAGAATAGTGGTTCTCAACCTTTTTAATGCCACAACCCCCAACTGGTTGTAAGTCGAGGACTAAACCGGTTGTAAGTTGAGGACTATCCAACCAGTCCTAAGTCAAGGACTTTCCCTGCCTGGGAGCGCCACACATGCGTGGTGCTGCTCCCTGCACCGGCCGAGGCGTAGCTGGCAAGCGGCAGAGACGGAGCAGACCGACCACCGGCTGGGCCACCAGCTGGCCCAGCCCAAGGGAGGTAAGGCACCCGCCGGAAAAGGGGAAAAAATGGTGGACAGCCTTGCTTGGCGACCCCCGTGAAATGGTCGATCGACCCCAAATTGGGTCGCGAGCCATAGGTTGAGAACCGCTGTCCTAGAAGAAGCCAAAGCTGTGACTAGGCCCAGGAGGGAGGAGATGATACCTCCTGCCTTGAAAGATGTGATGGTGTGCCACTTCAAAAGGTCATCTTTAGACCCAATGATTTCTGTAATGGACTGTGTGGATGACCTTGGGGAACATTGGGAAGAGATGCTGCCTAGGAAGCAATCAGACAAGAGGGACAAGAGCCCCCCAGTGGCTTAATGCTTAGAGAAAGAAACTTAGGAAAATTTGGGTGTAATGGTTCAAGTAATTAAAAGTGTCAGTGGGAAGTTTGTACTTTTAGACTTGCCAGATTGAAAGCCCTCCCCCCCCCTCGGTAAACCAGGCAGAAGAGAAGACTAGATGAACTAATTCTACTTTATTGTAAATTGCATTAACAGAATCTTGAAATCCTATTCAGATTGAACTGAAATTATAGTTTTGAATTACCAGTAATTAGAATTTTTCCAGTGGGAAATGGCAATTTTTCAGGTTTAAGAGGAAATATGATAATGGAATTTTGGGGGAGCTAGAGGATAATATAATTCATTTCATCAAGAATGGAGCAAAAATCTTTTACTGGACGTTTGGGTTTTTGGTCTTTAAAATTACTTGATATGATGGGTCATGTGGCAATGAAGTTGCTGAAGAACAAGCTACAATGGATACATTTGAAATTAATTTAAATGTGGATTTAAATAAGATAAGCAGAATATGGAAATATAAAGAAACTGATGGATGATTCACTGTTTAAAGAAGATGAACAATTATTAAGCCAGAAAAGTGGTTTGAGTAACTTGTTTTTACTGGATCCATAGTACTGGTGGTCTGTTAAAATCTTAAACTACTTTATGACAAGTTATTTTTAAAAAGGACAAATTTATCTCAAAGGTTTTTAAAGTTGTGGCATATCTTTGGGTTAAAAGAAAATACAAATACAAAACAAGCTTTGGGACTATATTTGAAGGGATTAAAAACTAAGACTTAAAATTTGGGGAAGGATTACAGAGTTGGCTTATTCAATCAAGATTAAAAATATAATATTAGTTATATTTGGTTCTCTTACTGGACTTTTGCTGATGAACAAATGAAAGGGCTTTTGCTTTTTAACTAAGTGATGGATTATGGGGAGAAGACAGTACCTATTGTATTAAGAGATAGTAATAAACTATTAAAATTATTTTCATTTCCTGGATGAAGGGGGAAAGTTACTTTCCTCCCTTCCCCTTTTCTTTTTGAGACTTGTTTTTTTGCTTCTATATGTTTTGTAGTTTTTATTCTTTCCATTTGTAAGTATTAAAACTATTTGGAAAAAGAATAAACCAATAAACATGATATAAAATAAGGCACTGTAATTATTGTTACTGTTGCCTACGGAGTTTCAGATAATACTGAAACAGGGCTATGAATAAAAGAAGTAAAATGAGTCAACTAAAAACTCATGCCCTAGTCATCTGGCATCTCTCTAAATGAGGCTGTCTTTTAAGATCACCTGGATGCTTCAACTGGTCCAGTATACCTCCAGTAAGCCATGTAGTACTTCTGCTTCATAAACTGTACTAGTTGCCAATTCGTTCCAAGTGTGATTTTAAGATGCTGGATGTTACCTATAAAGCCTACATGACATAGGGCTGTCTCCCATAACATCCACCTAGCTCAGCGGTTCTCAACCTGTGGGTCGCGACCCCATTTGGGGTCGAACGACCATTTCACGGGGGTCGCCAAACAACGCAGTCAGCCATTTTCCCCCCTTTTCCTTAGCTGTGCTACTCCCTTTTATTCTATTGGCTTTTGAAAGCCAATAGAATAGACTCTCTTCAATAGAGTCTAATTCTATTGGCTTTCAAAAGCCAATAGGAATTGTCCAGGCTGTCTCTGCCCTGCTCAGCCCACCAAAAGTCCCATTCTGCAAACGGTGCTGTAAGTTGTCTGCAGCGAAGGCGAGCTGTCTGGAAGTTTCCACCCCTCCCTGCTGAGCAACTACTAAAAATGTAAGTAAAAGAGGGCCAGGGGTGGGAGGTCGGCGGGCGCAGGGAGGGTTGCTGGCGTGCATGGGGCCCGGCGGGTGTCTTACCTCCCTTGGGCTAGGTCAGCTGGTGGCCCAGCCGGTGGTCGCCCTGCGGCGTCGCTGCCCCTTGCCAGCTACGCCCCAGCTGGCGCAGGGGGCAGCACCACGCATGCACGGCGCTCCTGGGCAGGGAAAGTCCTCGACTTACGACCGGTTGGGTAGTCCTCGACTTATGACCGGTTGAGTAGTCCTCGACTTACGACTGGTTGGGGGGTCACAGCATTTAAAAGGTTGAGAACCACTGACCTAGCTGATTCAACCCTGCAACACTGGTGCATTCAGGTTCCTTCAATATTAAAGATGTCTTCAGACCGCAGAAGCACATCTTCTTTGTAGCAGCACCTGCACTCTGGAACTAGGTTCATCCCAAAATCTGAATGACTTCCATTCTACTATTATTTAGAAGAGCCATGAAGACTTAGACAAGGGAGAGTGTGACTCCTTACTTCTTTATGCTTTTTAAAAAAATGTCTTTGTTGTCAGCTGCCCAGAGCCATTGAGAGTTAGGCAGAACACGAGCTTAATACGTCACCATTATTATTATATATTCTAGCAAAACCAGCCCATAGAAATTAAAAGAAAATTATTTTCCAGCATACTTCCATATAGAATGTGATAAAGTATACAATTTTCTTCATACTATGTAGAGAAGTATGTAATCTTTTTGACTATTTCTGATCCCAAGGTACACAGACAAATCATCATAAATTTGCCCCAATCCTAATTAAGAGTTAATTCCATTTTTACATACATGCTTTATTTACATATTATCCAAATTTTCATGATTAAGCAAGATTGATACATGTCATCTGATTACTCCAGCTTTTTCTTTTTTTACACTGGTGTGTTGAATGCGCAGCTGAACTAGGTTTCCAAGTTTTTACTCTTAATGCAACAAGAAATAGAGTTCAAAGAGAGAATCTCTGGTTTATTTAGACATGCATTTAGTAGAAGAGCTGATATTTATCCTGACTTACGAAATAGCATGAAATTTATTTGTATGGTTCATAAAGTACAGTACTAATCTCAAAATCTTTAAGAAAATCTTATTAAGAATTCTTAGGTCAATGAAAAGATGTACTTATGCGAAACTACAACAAGCACTTCTCAAATCTGCTTTGTAAGATTGGGAGAGTCCACAGATCAAGTTTAAAAATATAATTTTAAATACTATGAAAACGTTTCATGCTTTCTAATAACAATCCCAAAAATTAAAAAGAGGCTATAAAAGTTAACTACAATACCAACATTAAACTTTTGAAACTGCAAGTTATTTTATTCTAGTCTATCTCCTTATATTGAAAGATTGTGACTCTCAGAACAAAAAAACCCTAATAATTACTGCCTAACAAAAATTATATGGAAATCAGGAAAAATGTATTACAACCTAACAACTTTTATTCTATTCATCACATATATAATAAAACATTTAAAAAACAAAAAT